GCTGGCTAACTGGTTTTACAGAAGATCTGGGTGGGCACCAACTGTCCCTGCTATACTGACCAACTACCGACTATAGCTTTGGAAAAGAAGTATGGTTAACCTTATCATGCTGAGGTACAAGCTGAAAGAGAACATGGATGAGTAGGGGAGGAAGGATGTTACACATATCAACTTGTGTTCTAACAAGTTGTAAAAAAGAAAAATTTTTTTAAGAGCCACCCATGGTCTCTTCCTTGCATTGTTATTAATATATATAGGCCCATCCAGCATGGCTCAGTAGTTGAACATCGACCTATGAACCAGGAGGTCATGGTTCGATTCTGGGTGAAGGTACATGTCTGTGGGTTGCGGGCTTGATTCCCAGTGTGGGGCATGCAGGGGACAACTGATCAGTGATTCTAATAAATGATGTTTCTATCTCTCTCTCCCTCTCCCTTCCTCTCTAAAATCAATTAAAAAAATGTTTAAAAAATACATATACTAACCAATTTTCTTTCTCACCTCTTTCTGTTGCTAATCAATACAAAATAAATCAGTGGTAAATACTTTAAAAAATTTAGTCCCTAGGATACAAGGTATCAAGTTACAGTTGATATCAGAGGTTAAAAAAATTATCCAGATCTCCAACTGGATTTTTTAATTTGCTTTAGTTCTTTGAGCCCACCTCTGAAGCGAATAAATGCCCTCTGAAGCCTGTGGTTGGGAGAGAAGAGAAGGGGAGGAAAAAGGCAGAAAAGGGAATAAAAGAAAAACCTATGCTTAAAATTACCAAATTTTAATTTGACGTATGTAAAGCCAGAATTCTTTAAGGATACACAGACTGATATTGACAAAATAAGTATTAGGTAAAGAAAGCCCTTCCTTACAATGCCAAAAAAAAAAAAAAAGTAGAAAAACCAATTTGGCAATCCACATAGTTATAATTTATAATCAATAAATGCTAAAACTAGAGAATGAAAGTTTAATGAGAAATAGGATATTTGCATAATTTCAAAGTATTGGCCCATAAGATACTTATTACATAATTACAAAGGGGGAAATAATAACTACACATTCAAGAGACATGGTAGATAGCATCTTAATTAAGTTGACATAGCTAATAACGGTACAAGTTGCTATATTGTGTCTCCTAATTTAGTATTTCTGCCAAAAATGCATATTTCTAAATCCAATAGTAAGAAAACAGTAGATGAACCCAAAATGTGAGACATTCTATAAAATAGTTGGTTTATTAAAAAATGTTGTCATAAAAAACAATAACTGAGGAATCTTAATCAAATTTTTTAAATCTATGTATTTTTATTGATTTCAGAGAGGAAAGAGAAGCATCAATGATGAGAGGGAATCATTGACTGGCTGTCTCCTGCATGCCCCTCATTGGAGATTAAGCCCACAACACGGGCTTGTGTCCTGATAGGGAATCAAACTGCAATCTCCTGGCTCACAGGTTGATGCTCAACTACTGAGCCAAGCCAGCCAGGCGGAATCTTACCAGATTTTAAGAGAGACATGCCAACTGAGCATAGTGAGTATTATCAGAATTTTCTTTAGCTATAAGCAACAGTATTGGAATAATGAGTAAAATTTGAATAAAGATACAAATTAGATCTTAATATTGATATTTTCCATGGTCACATGAGAGAGTATTTTAGGACATACATATTTAAGTATTTATGGATAAAGGGCATCTGCAACTTGCTCTCGAATGGTTTGGGAGGAAAATGTTTTTAACCTATTTCTCTGTAATAAATTACAGAGACTTAAACAACAATAACACTTACCCATTAATCCTATCCAAGGTTCACCACAGCTTCACTCATCATTTCCAAAAACTGGAAACAACCAAGAAGTTCTTCAACAAGTAAAAGAATAAACCATAATATATCCATACAATCCTATATAATAAAGAGGGAATATGCAAATTGACTAGTATTCCATCACAAAAGATGGCAGAGCCTACAGCAGAGGCATATTTCCATAACAAAAGATGGCTGTACCTACAGCAGAGGCCGGGCTTGACAAGGGTGGGACTGGCCGGGTCTGGATCTAGCCCAATGAGGGAGGAGGGTGGCTAGTCTCGTGATTTTGAGGTGCATGTGGATGGGTGGGGGCTTGACTCTGGGTCCCATAGTGTGTCCCAGATTCTCACAGGAGGAAGATTTTCATATACATTTTACTAATTTTCTTTCATCTCTAACACTTCTATTATAGAGAAAGGGCAAATAGCAACATTAAAATATTTCCTCTAATTGATTCCCTTTTAATGTGCATGGATTTCATGCATTGGGCCACTAGTATAGCAATAAAAAGGAATGAGCCATTGATTCATGTAATATGAATAAATATTTTTAAATATATTTTATTAATTTTTTTACAGAGAGGAAGGGAGAGAGATAGAGAGCTAGAAACGTCGACCAGAGAGAAACATCGACCAGCTGCCTGCAACTAACGTACATGCCCCTGACCGAAATTGAACCTGGGACCTTTCAGTCCGCAGACCAATGCTCTACCACTGAGCCAAACCGGTTTTGGCAAATAATATGAATAAATCTTAAAAGCATTTTGCTCAGTTAAAAAAAAGCCAGGCTCAAAAGGTTATATGATTCCATTTATATGACATTGAAAAGGCAAAACTTAAGGATGAAAAATAGATCAATGGTTGTCAAAGGTTGGAGGAAGGGACTACAAAGGTTTCCATGATGAAAATTTTTTAGGCTGATGAAACTATTTTGTATGGTTCTGGGATGGTGGAGAAATAATTTGTTACATTTGTCAAAAAATCCATAGAACTTTTACAGTATGCAGCTTTAAAAAAAACAAACCAGGAAGTCAGGGTGGGGGTAGAGAGGAGAGTGGGGATCAAAGTGTGAAATGCAAAATGGAGACAAGTGACTAATTATTGATATAATACAAGTGTGTGACGTAACCTCACTGTTACATTTAGGGAGTGGTAAAAAAAAGAGTTGACCAAGGTGACTTTGTAAAATGATGTTTTAACAGGATATTGTAAGGCAGGAGACAAAGAGAACCATTAATAAACACTGTCAGTTGCTTCTCATAGGGTATGGGTTAGTAATTCTGAAACTACATGTTTACAAGGGTTGAACAAATACATTGAAGATCACTGGAGCCAGGTTTATTCCTTTCAGAGAAAGAAGTTATGAATAAGCAAGGCAGGGGCAGAGGCAAAGACTAGCAGAGTTGGAGATGTCAATCTGCACTCACCAACTGCCATTTTTTTGTTTGTTTTAATATATTTTATTGATTTTTTAGAGAGGAAGAGAGATAGAGAGTTAGAAACATCAATGAGAGAGAGACATCGATCAGGAGCCTCTTGCACACCCCCTTCTGGGGATGTGCCTGCAACCGAGGCTAAAGGAGTTCTCACCACCAAACCAGTATCACATGTTAAGGATCTTCTAAAAGAAGGAAAAAGATAAAATATAAACAATAAAATGGCAATAAATACATATCAATCAACAACTGAATCTAAGAAACAAAATAAAGGAACAAGTAGAAAGAAACAGACTCAACCCTTTGACCTTGTAGGTCCTCAGGTAGGTCAATGAGTTAATATACATAAAGCACTTAAACATTGTTCTCATTCATTCATTCATTCGTTCAGCAAGTATTTATTAAGACCCACTTTTGTTTCAGGAATCGCTCAGGGCACTGCAGACACTCAAGCAAACAAAATACAAAAGACACATGTAGATGATTTAATTTCTGATATCACTTCAGGTTCTCCAGGTCCTTGCTAACTCCAAGTCTATAAACTGGCAGCATGACATCACCGGGGAACCTGTTAGAAATGCATATTTAGGCCCCACCAGACTGACTGAATCAGCATCTGCATTTTAACAAGATGGTCAGCTGACATGTACACGTTAAAGTTTGTGGTGTCCAGCTTAAATCATAAACTCTGTACCTATACTTAAGGATACATCTTGAACACCTGTGTTCTAAGGAAGAATGACATTGAAATTTAAAAATTGCTCTAAAGAAAAACATTTTCAAGGTTATTTTCATGTAAAATGTTATGTTAATTGAACTTAAGCGGTGGAAATCTGCTCATTATATGCGCCTTGTTCCTAAAATACTAAAAAAAAAAAAAAAAAACAAAAAAAACTTCTAGAGTTAATCTAGGTAAATGGCTCCATCTAGTGGAAATATTTTGATTTGTACATTGAGTATAATTTAAATTAGTCTTAGGATCTCAAGAAAATGAAAATTCTAAAAATCTTAAAGAAAATGGGTATGTCTACAATTAACAAAAATCCTAGTATACATGGAAGAAAGGCTTAGTAACCATCAATTCCTTCCTTTTTACATATAAAGAGAGGGCCTTTGAACACAAGTTAAATTTCTGAATGTCTCACTTGTGATAAGAAAATAAGAAAACATATTAAATATATATTTTTTGGGCCCTAGCTGGTTTGGCTCAGATTGAAGGGTCCTGTGTTTGATTCCCATCAAGGGCACATGCCTGGGTTGGGGGCTCAATCCCCAGTAGGGGGCTCTCTCATCATTGATGTTTCTATCTCTCTTTCCCACTCCCTTCCTCTCTGAAAGCAATAATAATATATATGCTTTCAAAATGAAAATGTAAAAAATACCTAGAGAAGTTTACCAGTCAGAATGCCAGAATGGTGACTATAGTATTTAGTTCCAAATACACTGTAGGTATACTGAATTTAAATGACTTTTAATTAACACTTCTGAATTATAATCATCAACTTGTCTTTTTTTTAAAATTCAGGCCTGATTTTATTAATTTTTCTAAAATTTTTTTTATTGATTTCAGAGTAGAAGGGAGAGGGATGAAACATCAAAGATAAGAATCATTGGCTGGCTGTCTCACGCACAGCCCCCACTGGGGATCAAGCCAGAAGCCCAGGCATGTGCCCTGACCAAGAATCATCCATGACCTTTTGTTTCATAGGTCGATGTTCAACCACAGAGCCACACCCGCTGGGCTCAGGCCTGATTTTATTTGAAAGATGGACTTGCGTCTCTCTTTCCGCCGTCGGTCTGTGCCGCCACAATGGCGCACGAATGTCCTGGCTGATGCTCTGAAGAGTATCAATAATGCCGAAAAGAGAGGCAAACGCCAGGTTCTCATTAGGCTGTCCTCCAAAGTCATTGTCCGGTTTCTGACTGTGATGATGATTGGCGAGTTTGAAATTATTGATGACCACAGAGCTGGGAAAATTGTTGTGAACCTCACAGGCAGGTTGAACAAGTGTGGAGTAATCAGCCCCAGATTTGATGTGCAACTCAAAGATTTAGAAAAATGGCAGAACAACTTGCTTCTGTCCCGTCAGTTTGGCTTCATTGTACTGACAACCTCAGCGGGCATCATGGACCACCAAGCTGCAAGACGAAAACACACAGGAGGGGAAATCCTGGGATTCTCTTTCTAGGGATGTAATAGATATGTGGAAATAAAACGCCTCAAAGGAAAAAAAAATAAATAAAAGAAATGGACTTGCTAAAAAAAATAAAGGGAGGATGGTTACCTGATAGGCCTCTGGTGCCAGGAAATTATGTGCAAAATATACGAGTATATTTGTGTACCGTTTAACAATAAAATTTATCCACCACCCAGACTTTTTATGATTGTACCCTCTGCTCTCCACCTTGAAGATGCAACCACCTTCATTTTGTATTACACATTTATGATTCCATAGTTAAAATTTTTTAATCTTATATAACTGGCTTCTCTGCAGGTATTCTGAAACTGGCTTCTATTTTTTAGTGTTATTAAAAAGTCATCTATCCTGTGGGACATTTGGGTTGTTCCTTTTTATTTTTTGCTATTACAATGCTGATATGAAGATCCTTGTGTCTTCTGGCACATAAAGGAGTTACTCTAAGATATATGACGAGAACTGCTGAGTCTTAGCATCGACAGATGTTCAAATTTGACTTGGTAATGGCAAACTGGTTTCCAAAGTAGTTGTACTTTATGCTAAGTGAAATAAGCCGGTCAGAGAAAGGCAAGTATCATATGATCTCACTTATTTATGGAATCTAATGAACAAAATAAACTGATGAACAAAATAGATCCAGAGACATAAGATTCCACAGTCTCTCAGAGGGAAGGCACAGTTAATGGGTGGAAAGAGATCAACTAAAGAACTTGTATGCACATATGCATAACCTATGAACATTGACAATAGGGTGGTGAAGGCCTGGGGTGGGGAACAAGGTGGGCTAGAAGGGATCAATGGGGGGTGGGGTGGGGAAAGGGGTATATGTAATAGTTTCAACAATGAAGATTTTTTTTTTTTTAAATGAAGTAGTTATACTAAGTCAGCATTGTAAGAGTTCTGTTCCTCTATGGTGCAGCTTTAGAAACAACTGGTATTTCCAATTTTTGTGAAGTTAGTGAATGTGAACATACGTAGCATCTTTTCATTTAATGGTGATCCTTTAGGTTAAGTACTAAGGGAATGAATAAGTAATAACAAAACCAATTTAACCACAGGCTAATTTATATAAACAAAGAGTTAACTTCTTTTAGGAATCTCAAGAACATTATAACGAAATGTTAAAACATTGAGGAACTGCTAGACTGATTTGACATGTATTTAGATGTCTCCAGGTAGTTATTTTGAGCTGCCTATTCATGAATCGGTAGTTTTAATTCCTATAGCTGTAATTAAAAAAAATTATACTAATATTTTTTGGGATACATTTTTAATTTTAAATGTAGACACCATAAGCTGATAATCATTTAGGGAAATATTTATCTTAGGCCACTTTGGCCTGCCCAATCTTAAGCGTTTGATTTCCACAAATATGAAAAAAGCAAAAATTTCAATACCACCAAACATGACATGTTGAAGGGTCTTCTTTAAGAAGAAGAGCCCTAGCTGGCTTGGCCCAGTGGATAGAGCCAAAGGTACAAAAATATATTATACTCAAGTGGATTGGCCTGCGGACTGAAGGTTTCCAGGATTGATTCTGATCAGGGGCACATGCCTGGGTTTTGGGCTCGGTCCCCAGTAGGGGGCATGCAGGAGGCAGCCAATTAATGATTCTCTCTCATCATTGATGTTTCCCTCTCCCTCTTCCTTCCTCTATGAAATAAAAATATATTAAAATAAAAAAAATATACAAAACAAGAAAATGGCAATACATATCAATCAACAATTGAATCTAAAAGCAAAATAAACCAACAAACAGAACAAAAACAGATTCAGGGAATATTTTGACAGTTGCATGGTGGGCATGTGGGGAGTTGAGGGGATTGGTGAAAAGGTGAAGGGATTAAGATGTACAAATTGGTTGTTACAGAATAGTCATGGGATGTAAAGTACAGGGAATGTGGTAAATGACGTTCTGGTAGCTATGTGTAGTGTCAGATGGGTGTGGGGTTTATTGGGATGATCTCTTAGTAAATTATGCAATAGTCAAATCACCTGGGTGTACAACTGAAACTCATATAATGTCTGTCAAGTGTAAATGAAAAACCAAAAAATGATTTTAAGAAAGGTTTATAATTGTGACTACACAAGTTTATTCTTGTACAAGAGGCCCAGTGCATGAAATTCATTCATGGGGGTGGGGTGTGTGTGTGTGTGTGACATGTCCCTCAGCCCAGCCTGCACCCTCTCCAGTCTGGGATCACTCACAATCCAGGACTGATGACTCCCAACTGCTCCCCTGCCTGCCTTCCTGATTGCCCCTAACCACTTCTGCCTGCCAGCCTGATCACCCCCTAACCACTGCCATGCCAGCCGGATTGAGGTCTAACTGCTCCCCTGCCAGCCTGTTTGCCTCCAGCTTCCTCTGCAGGCCTGGTCACCCCTAACTGCCCTCCCCTACAAGGTTGATCGCCTCCAACTGCCCTCCCTTGCAGGCCTGGTCCCTCCCCAATGGCCATCTTGTATCCACACGGGGGCAGCCATCATACGTGTTGGAAAGATAGTCAATCTGCATATTACTTTTATTAGATAGGATTACTTACTGTATTACAACAGTAAATGTACTTTTACCCACTCCTGAATTCTTTCAGGTTTCTTTGGATATATTCAGAAATGGACTCACTGGGTCATAAGGCAATTCCATTTTTCACTTACTAAAGTAACTCCATACTGCTTTCTATGGTGGCTGCATCAATCAGAACTCCCATCAACAGCACACAACGGTTCCCTTTTCTCCACATGCTCACCAACACTTGATTTCTGATGGTAGCCATTCTGACAGGTGTGAAGTGACATCTCATTGTAGTTTTAATTTGCATTTTTCTGATGATTAGTTATGTTGAGTATCTTTCCATATTTCTTTTGGCCATCTATATTGCCCACTTTTTGTGTGTCGAGTTTTATAAGTTCTTTATAAATTTTGGATATTAATCCCTTACTGGATGTTCTGGAGAAATAACTTGTGAATGTCCAACAACAGTAAGATGGTTGTCTAAATTGGTCACAGAATATAGTGTAGCTACCAAGTCAATGTGTATTTCTTAACAGGCAAGTTTAGAAATAAAACAGTACAAATTCACTAACAATAGTTCATTTAAATTGTTTAATGAAGTTCTTAAAAAAGCAACATAAGCTTGAAATGGGATACTTTAGAATAAAATCTAAATTGTCAGACCAAGAATTCTATGCATAGAAATGAATTTCATTCATTGGCTGGCACAAAAATATAAAGCTTATAGTATTTACCGTATCACCTTTACCAATGGTTTAGAAATTGTGATTCGTTTTTAAATTTTATGTTGAACTGAAGAATGATGTATGTGGATGTTTCAGATTGTTTTATACCAAGTTAACACAAGACTGAGATTAAATATTACAATGATTGTCATAGCTTCAGCAGTTTCTATATTCCAACTGTAGTTATGAGAAAGTCCAAACTCAGAACTGTGTAGTTCAAATGTTACTTTTCAAGCATTCCTAAAGCAATACATGTAAACTAATGAGTCAGTTGGTTAACTCATTACAAAATTAAAATGGTGTCAAAAACAGGTATAATATCAAGTAAAAACTAGTTTGTACTTTATTAGGCTTAAAAAAAAATATACATTTCGTTGATTTTCTACAGAAAGGGAAAGATAGCTAGAAACATCAATGAGCTACATCTATCAGCTGCCTCCTGCACACTCCTCATTGAGGATGTGCCCGCAACCAAGGTACATGCCCTTGACCAGAATCGAACCTGGGACCTTTCAGTCCGCAGGCTGACGCTCTATCCACTGAGCCAAACCGGTTTCGGATAGGCTTATTATTTTCTCCCGCAACCTAAATTCTGAAATCTTAAAACTTTTTAAATCCTATCCAAGGATACCATTGATTTTTAGAGTGGAAGGGAGGGAGGGAATAGAGTGTGAAACATTGATTGGTTGCCTCCCAAACACCCTGACCCCAGCTGGGGATGGAGCCTGCAACCCAGGTATGTACCCTTGATTGGGTATTGAACCCAAGACTCTTCAGTCTGAGGGCAGACACGCTAACCGAGCCAAACTGACCAGAGATTAAACTTTTTCTTGAAGACGTATTTTAGAACATGATACCCAAGTTTCAACCCCAGCCCATACCCAACACAACTGAGCTTTCTTGCTTTTAAACTATATTTTATTGTTTTTTTTTTTTACACAGAGGGAGAGGGATAGAGAGAAACATCGATGAGAGAGAAACATGGATCAGCTGCCCTCTGCACAATCCCTACTGAGGATGTGCTCACAACCGAGGTACGTCCCCTTGACTGGAATCAAACCCGGGACCCTTCAGTCCACAGGCTGATGCTCTATCCACTGAGCCAAACCTGTCTGTGCACAATTGAGATCTTTCAATCTCAAATATTTTTCATGTGCAAGTAATAAAGGGGAAAAACCCCAAACCCCATCCCCCTTAAAATTTCCTCGGGTTAAACTGATCTAATCTCAGGCTTCCCTGTTGGAAAATGTAAATCTAAAAAAAACAAAATTACTCTTCAGTTATGCACATATTTCCCTTGAAACAACACATTTAGAATAAACTACTACTTTTATACATGGGCACTTCCAAAATTATGTATTTTTTAAAGAATAAAACAAGCCTTAATAGGATACATTCATACACATTCATGCAATCTATCCTTATAATGCTTTATTCAAAACTTCACCTTTTGATTATTTTTTTGCAGAGCACTATCATTTGGTGGTGGAATCAACTGTTGAGACATACATCAATAGGAGTTAAGCTAAAATGTGGGGAAAATAGTTCTTAACTGTTATTACCCTGATTAAAAAAAATATTCAATAAACATGAGTGCACCAATGTGTAAACTAAGAGGGGAAAAAAAACCACCTAAAAACAAACAACAAAATAACCCTCCCCTTAACAATAAAAACGACCTATTTGGATCCAAAATGGGGGGAGGGAGAGAAAGCTCATTTCCTTCATTAAAAACCAGAGTGAAACATCTATAGTTAAACAACTTTATTAACATAGTCAAGCAGTGATTAACATTCACATCTATTATGTCACATCATACAAATGTAAATACAAAATTACTACAGTACAATATATATTCTCTGCATGATCCAAAATATTTGGTGGCCCCAAAAAACTCTCTTTAAAATTCAGCAGCTTATCAAAAATTAAAACCGTATTCTATTTAAAATGAAGATCTGTTAGCACAGAGTTAGACTTCAAGAAATATCAATTTAGTACAGCTTGAGAAGTTGCAGGAGGGTATGTTTGAAGGACACATTCTAACATAGTGTGGCAGGTACAGGAAACATCAGATTTAAAGCTTTTAAGCATAACTCATACAACCTAAGTTGTCAGCAGAAAGATCCAGTTATTTATAATTAAAGCTAAAACTACTACATTATTGCACCCAATATTATTAACATGAATATTAAGTGTAAAACTTTTTTATAACATGAAGTGATTAACCACGTTTAAACACCTCTTCTCACAGATAATCTATTAAATAAAATTATACAGTATTGTCTAATTATTATCTCCATAAAAATTGTCCAATCTTAATCTTGTTAAATATCCACAGAGGAAAAGAGTAATGAAGTGAATGGTGAAAGTACAGTGGAACCCCTTTATGAGGCCGGGAGTAGGAGGGGGCCAACATTGCCTTGGAGGCTAACCATGTTACAGAATTAAGACTTGTAAAATAGTAAATTTGGCTTAATATCAAGCCATAGTACAAGGGGATCCTATGATAAACAAAAATTCTAATAAAAGGGAAAACAACATTTTCCTAGTGATATAATGCTTGGCAAATTGATTAAGTTTGATTTAAAAATGTACAAGAGGTTAAAAAATCATTTAACTTCCCTCAAAATCATGCATAAGGTGAAAAAAATCATTTAACTTCCCTTAAATTCGTGCATACACTGAAAAATACATCCTGGGATACAAATGAGAATAAACAGTTGCTATAATTTAAATGCATATCTTAAAATTAATATGTATAGTAACCAAGAATAAAGATAAAGAACTTTATACATGTAATACCAATGGAGGAAAGATCTACATAAGACTGAAAAAATTAGTCACAAGTCACCTGAAGAGTGTACAAGTGAATGAAACTTTTATGTAAAATGTAATTTTTAAGAGGCATTAGAAATATCATATTTAATACAGTATGAAAGATACTAAGTAGATATACAATGCTCTTGCATGGTATTACTACTAGATAATGTCACACAGTTCTTTATTGATCTGATTTTTCATCTAGACTATTCCAGGCCTTTAACAATCTGAAGACCAGTTATCTTAAAGATTTTAATGCCTACACTTCAATAACAATACTACTAGCAAGTTAGTGCTTCCTCCTTGTACTATTTGCAAAAAGTAATTCAAGCAAAGCTGTATTTTAAGGTACTATTAAAGGAAGGATTTAAATTGCAGTTATGCATGATACAGTCTTCGCTTGGGAAGAATGTTTTTGCACCGTTATCTGTTAATACATTCAATATGAATATAAATTATACAAATAAAAAAAAACCACACCTCCACTTTTTTTTTTCCTTTATGGCAAAATATTTGTTAAATTTAAACTAAAGTGTTTGAGACAAATTCTGGCATTTCAGTTATGCAGAGTAATTTAATACAGAATAGAAAAATGTCCACATTGCTATCTTGAGGGTTTGAAGAAAAGGAGGACCAAATTAAATTCATTTTCAAGAGAAATCTACAAGAGGGATTTACACCCCCCTGGTCAGCTGGAATAAGGACGGGAAAACCAGACTACATGGGAAGAGAAATAACACTAAAAAACAAAGACTATAAGTATAATGATCCTTTATAAGCATATGTCACCAAAGCAAACAGGATACAAGAGTATTCACCTGAGATAAAACTTGTATCTGAATATTTTGTAACTGAGTAGACAAAGCATTTCAATAGAGGAAAGTCAGCGGAAATTATTTTAAAATATACATCTGATACTATTTTACAATATATGCAATTTAAGCAATTCAGATCAATGAAAAAGTCTTAACAAAAAAATCACAGTGTTTATCAATATGTTAATTACAAAATGTATGCTACTTATTTTGTTTTAAAAGATGTAATGGCTTGGTTAAGTGTTTTAAAATCTATTTTTCTGAAATCTAACTTGCATCACAAAATCAAGTAGCAATAATGTAAAGCATCAGAACTGGCTCTTAAAGATTATTTACATATTGATTATTTGGGAAATAACCAAAAAATATAAAAAAGTGATTTTTTTTTTTTTTACATAGTATGAAGTTATTGAAGAGATTAGACAATACAAAAAACAAAATTCTTTCCTAAATAAATGAGTATCTGTGGCACTAAGTTTACTAATGGACTAAAAAATGGACTGCCAAATATGCATTTAAATTATATTAAATACACTTTCTGTTTCCAACTTAGGTTGATCAGCAGCTTTTGTTCTGTTAGAATCCTTCAAAGAGAGAAGCTCAAACAGGAAAAAGAAGGCATATATAAAACAGTAAACACTGACCTCCTGAGGTTCCTACAACATAAAAATATTCAAGTAGAAAATCTACATCACTTAGCAGCGGCTATGTCTGTAGTTGAGCACACCAACAGCGCTTTAGTGTGTAAGGAGCAGATGAAGTAAGCCGTGCTTTAAGCATGCCAAGAGGCAAAAACACTGGAATGTAACAAAGACAAACTCACAATTTCAGAGACACTCAGTCAACATTCAAAACTACTAAGACTATACTACAAGAATTAAGTTGCTTATACACACACACACATATATATATATATATCCCATGATGTATTAGAATGCTAAATCAGAGCTTACCTCAAAAGAACTTAAGTGGCTTCTACAAATTCTTATGTTATACTAAATATCTGAAATATAAATTAGGAACACAATACCTCATGGGGAGGAGAAAAAAAACAAAACCCAACCCAATCTCAGGCTTCCAGTTATATTTAGTTTATTCATTCTCTATTTTTAAATTAAATTTTCTTTTAATTAAAAAACAGGTTAAGTGGTTATCAAATGAGCGTATTCTTATGTGAAATATCTGCCTAGCTGAAATCAATTTTTAATCAACCAAGTGACAATATTGCTTTTTCAGTCAACATATAATTACAGGTCCAAATAATTTTTTGAAGGTTGTTTTTGTGTTTGTTTAAAAGCGTTTAAAGAAGAATTTTGCCATTTTCTTTCAATCTAAAATATTACCTATTCTAGAATATTAAAATATCTCCCATATTAAATTGTGAAAAGTATTTAAAAAACAAACTAGAGAATACCACTAGAATTTAAGGATAAAACAGCTATTCCAATTAGGTTTTTAAAAACAATCAGGTTTTAACTAGGTAGGAAGCAAATTTTGAGCTTCCAGTAAAGTAATGGTAGTAGAAAGAAAAAAATGCTACATCCACTTTGAATCCAACTTATAATTAAAAAAAATTTTTCTTTTTTTTTGGATAAGAAAATAGCATTTAATTTTAGGCTCTACAGACTGAAATTTGCAAAGCCAAAGTACAGGAAAGAAGATGAAAGAACATGTTAAAAAAAAAATACACACACACACACACACACACAACAAAAACCTTTCTGCATGCTACCATGCATTTGAAATTTTTTAAAACGGTATTTATAAATTCACACACATACAGCTCAAACTTCAGTGCAATTGGCTGTATCATTCAACACCTTTAGAAGAAAAGAACCATGCAAAGAGGAGCAACTGCTTATAAAAATGGTTATTCAGTATTTATTCTGCAATGCAAAGGTGACAAACTAAAATATAAAAAGGTTGTTATGGCTTAACATTTTTGTTGCAGATTAAATATGCAGCATTGAAAAATGGAAAGGTGTGGCTTCATCTCTGACCAGCAGAGTTAAAAAGAAAAATCTCTCCATTTTCCTTCATCATCATGGGATACACTGTCAGGCAATCCAAATTAATAAAGACTTGAAACTTTATATGGAGACAAGATCAAGTGTACCAGTTAGGATTTCACATTCACAGTATATAAGAAAATACACATGGAAGGAAAAGTAAAGGGTTAACTTAACAAGGATTTATTCACAGGAATACATGTAAGTAGAGAAAAATAACAGAAAAGCTAAACAAATGAAATGAAGAGGATCCAAATCAACTTTCACTCTGTAGCTTTTTACTTGCACCCTGTGTGCATATATCTAGGGCACAGAGGGCCACCAACATGCGCCAATACAGTGTAGGAACCCTGCATTACATCCATCAACTTAAACATATCCTTAAGATCATGCTTTGAACAACAAAAAAGCTTAGAAGGCATTATGCTGAGTGGGAATAAACATTGAAATATAGCAATCATGTCTTCAACTTCTACAATTGTCTTTATGTGCCAACTAACATTTATGTAGCCTCTTACAGATCTTTTACCATGTAATTGAAGTTTTGAAATTTGATGAAATCACTAGTAGTATATAACCATGCAGAAAGCACATCACACTGACAGCACAGAGGCAAAGATTTTGCACAGGTATATCAGCTTTCCACATTGTGCAGGTTACACACAATACAATATCAATCTTATTCCTAACAGATCCTAAAAAGGTATTTTCAAGGCCTAGCTGTAAACTACAGTACTTTATATATCTATATTCTTAATAAAAATAAAATCCACAAATCTTAAAAAGGAATTTTAAATGCAGGGCTATATTGAATTGGTAAACTGCAACACAAACTGGCGCAACAGAGGTAAATGAATACCAATCTCACTCTACGTGATGCAAGCATGCTACTTACTTTCCCACTAATTTACTTTCAATCACTATGAGCCAGAATGCATGCCTGAACCTTAAACTGCACTTTAAAATTAACGTCTTGGCCTAGAAATTAAATCTAATGAAGTACAACCATCAAATTATATCCACTACATTAATGTTTTAATGCAAAATCAAGAGTTCTATCTTCTGTTTGATATGTCCAACCCCATTATTCCTCCCTCCCTGCCCACCCCACAAAGGTAAAAGGAGTGACTCATTTGGCATTTCACAGGGTGCTTCATTGTTTAAATTAGATTTTTTATTTCCGACTTTTTTTTTTGGGTACCTTATATTGTAACTCCCAAGAACCTGCTTCTAGTATGGTTCGGCAAGCTGATTTTAATTCTATTAGCTTCATTTGTGTAGTTCTTTATCAGCATGCAAAAACAAGGCCCCATCGCATGGGAAAATTTATAAAAACCTTTAAATAATAATAAAAAAACTTCTTTACTGTTTCTAACCCCCCATTCTTAGGTTTCCTTTATTGTGCGCTATATAAATTTTCCTCTTTTATCCCTATGCATCATTTATATGGTTCTTGTTTTGGTACAATTCCCCATAATATTCCAGAATGTACTGTTTTGTGAGTAGACTGAATAGGTTTTGTTTTTTTGCTTCTTCACATCCAGTGCGGAGTTGTAATTGAAGACAGATTTCCACCCACAAAGGCTCCAGATGTTAAAACGTTTCCCAACATCGACAATACAGTGACGGCAACACCTCCCTCCCGCCCCTCCCAGTAGGGTTGGGATTGTACTGTATTCCCTACTGGTTTACCCTTCCCCCCTGTAAAGGGTAACATTTTCCCTGGGTGCAGAGGCTCCCTCATAGTCTCGAAGACTGAAGGACCTGTAAGAAAACAGTTTTATAGTTTAACAATTGTTTCTCTTTTAAAGTCAGTGAGCCACAAAATTAATCAAGTAATGATGCTATCTCTACCTAAAGAAAATGAGAAATTGGACAAGTTGCCTAATGATAACCATGTTGCTTCCTTCTCCTATAGTCTCAACTGTCACCTGCATCAGATACAAAAAAGGGATCCCAAGCTGGGGACAACCACAGAGAGGTGCGTAGCATTTTATAAAGACAAAACATCCTTTTTTGCCAGTATTTCCAATATAAATCAAATAAAAATCCAATCTATATTAAACAAAACCAAACCCAAAAGCTCCAAGAGCATTCCTTATTTTGTTGTCTGATGTTTTCACATAGGAGGTGTTAAAGGTGTCCACTACACTCAGCAAATGTAAAAAAGTAATTTTTAACACTTTCCCCCTCTTTTTAAATATATTTTCATAGATTTGAGAGAGGGAGAGACAAAAACATCAACGATGAGAGAGAATCATTGACTTGATGCCTCCCTCACATTTTCAGTAGGGATCAAGCCTGCCACTTGGGCGTGTGCCCTAACTGGGAATTGAACCTCGGCCTCCTGGTTCATAGGTCCACACCCAACCACTAAGCCACACTGGTAAGGCAATCTTGACTTCTTGATGCTACTAATTAGTAATTCTTCTGACCCTATTTCACTCTGTCATTTTCTATACTCTCAGAACCCTTGATTTTCCTAATAAGGACTTTTTCAGTGGTATCATTTTTAATGATGAAAGTGACACCAAGAAATATAGATTACTAGGAAAATGTAACTGGTGTCTGACATTGGAACTTTCACAACAAAACTCTAAGAACCACTCATGCCAAACCTTGGACATTTATGAAAGTTCATGTGAATTCACAAAAGTGACTAACCCATCCGTGAAGTACAAGAAACCCCTTTACTCTGTCTCTGAAAACACAGTAGAATACAAAAAAAGGCAGGATTGACTTTTACCTTAAATTAGAAAACTAAGAATTACTACATTACCTTGTCTTAGAACATGGTCACCCCAGTTAATTCGTAATTGGTGATATGATAGAGACAACAGAAGGTAATAAATTTGGAAGTGCTTGAGACTTAGCTCACAGTTGAATCTTTTTGGCCCTTGATACTGAAAGTCATTCTCATCTATTGCATTCTCATGATTTAAAATTAAGTTAATCAAGCACTTTTCCAAAATGTTAAGGCCATAAAACAGCTATTAGGACACAAGACCCCCAAGGACAACTTACACAAAGGACTCTGAGACATTCCAGAGGCTGCAAGTCTATTTCTACTGTCTTTTAGGTTAATTAGACAAACTGGATGTTGGACTCTTTCCAGGTTTAAAACCTAGCTCAGAGTAAACAACAAGCAAGAAAATAAAACTCCAACACAAAAGGTAATTCAATTTGCTATACCACTGCTGAACACACAGAGTACATTCTCTGGCCTTCAGTAAAATATGTCTCGGTTTTTATCTAAAACCTAAAGTATAAACACTGGTTCACTGTACCTGTACTGGCCCACATTCCTAACATTTGTTGAACCAACTTATTGTGTTAGGCAACATACCCAATTTTGGCATCAGATATTGTACCAGCA